GGGCACCCCTCTCCCCGGTGCTCGGCGCTGGACCCGCGGCGGCCTCGTCTCCGGTGCGAGCCCGGCTGTGGGTGAGGCGGCAGAACGGCTTGGAGCGTTGCTTTGGGGAAGAAAAACGGGAGGCGAGGCTTGGCGTGGCGCAAACAGCGAAAAATATTAATAAAAGACATTTTTAAATAGAGATTATTTGAGGTGGGGGAGGCGGTCTGGGCAGACCGTTGTCGGCGAGGAGCCCTCCAACTGAAATACGGGCTGTCTGCATCAGCGGAGCATCCTGTGTTTGCGGGGCCACATAGGAACTTGCAGGAAACCAGGCATGCAAGGCAGACGGACCTGTACATCCCTCTCTTCCTTCTCTCCTCAGCGAGCAGGAAGAGATAATACTGTTAAATTGACCTCTACATGCATTGGAGACGTTTGGGTGTGATGCTGGGGACATCTCTCAGTTGCTTGGTAAAACTAGCTCTCTGGTTTGCTTTACCAATGTCACAGAATCACAGAATGGTTTGGGTTGGAAGGGACCTTAAAATCATCCAGTTCCAGTGCTCTGCCGTGAGCAGGGACACCTTCCACTAGCCCAGGCTGCTCAAAGCCCCGTCCAACCTGTCCATTGCTGGTAGCAGTGCTTTCTTTAAACTTCAGAACAATGGTAAAGCCAATTAATTGCATTTTTAAACCCTGTCAACATACACGTTTACATGCCAAAATACTTAGGATAAGGACAATTGTAGTAAGTAAACTTAGGAGGTAAAAAACATTTGCAGAGTTACATTTTGTTTCTTTGAGGACTTCAAAATAGCCTGCAATTCTTGTTTAATGAATTATAATTCTACTCATGACTACTAAGTCTCAAAGTATGTTTAAGGAATTGAGGATTTTTTTTTTTTTTTTTAATTTCCAATTTTATTTCTCAGTTTTTCTCAAGGTTGACAGAGAGGTTTGTGAATGGGGTGGATATATTAATGGATACATTCTGGAGAATATGGACTGATTTGTTAGATGTTCTTGGAATCGATGGTAAGTGTTATGCCTGTTAACTCTTGAACTATATCAGCCTGTATCAATGTTTGCCAGCATAGGCCGAGTGGGAAAATAGTTACATTTTATCCTGCTGCATTAAACATCAATCGGTGGTATCTCTATCTGCTTCACATGGCTTTGATTTTGCCATTAGTACCTTCAGACAAGAGGACTGAAACCAGCCGTTCCGTGTAAAACGCGTTACAAGTCATGGCTGGTTTCTTGGCGTCTTCATTAAACGGATGCACGCGGCCAGGAACAGTGCAGGGAAGTAAAGGAGGACTAGAAGAAGGAAAGGTGCAATTGAGAGCCTTTAGAATGTAACTTTTACAAAGCAGGAAGCATTCCTTTGCTTTAGCCTCAGTATGAACTTCAACCTTAGGCCCTACAGTAGTTTGGCTTTAAAGAACCTTTAGCATCTCTGCTTTAAAGGAATTCCTACAGTTGCATCACTGGTGCTGAGCCAGTGATTTGAAGAAGGTCCATCCAGAAATGGATGAACTAGCTTTACCCCTTACTTCAGAAAACACCGCCGTGACCCCACTGCATGACCCTGTGAAGCTGTGCTTGCGTTTTTACCCTTACCACTTTGGCCTGTGCTCGTTAATACCCTGTACATTTTCCTTTGTTTTTCAGCCTCCAACCTGACTCACTATTTCAGCCCAGCGGCAATTGCCAACAACCCGACCCGTGCTCTTCTGCTGATTGGTGCCATTTTACTTGCCTATTGGTTTTTATCTCTCTTCCTCGGATTCTTCTTCTATCTCCTGCACATGCTGTTTGGTCGCTTCTTCTGGATTGCGAGAGTTGCCCTTTTCACTCTCTCGTGTGTCTACATCCTCCAGAAGTATGAAGGTGACCCGGAACACGCAGTCCTGCCTCTCTGCTTTGTTGTAGCAGTCTACTTCATGACGGGGCCAGTTGGATTTTACTGGAGAAGAAACAGCAACAGCAGCCTTGAGGAGAAGATGGACCACCTCGATAGTCAGATCAGACTTCTGAACATACGTCTTTCTCGGGTGATCGAAAACCTGGACAGAGGCAGCGACCAATGAACCAACCCCTATAGACCACTGTACACCAGCTCTAGAAAATTCCTAAGCACTGTCTCGTTCAAAGTTACAAAGCAACAAAACATCACATGGTAAAAAGTGTGCAAAGTTATAACTTTTCATCATGTGTAAGACTAATTTATCTAGATTATACACTCAGCCATTATACTTGTAGGAAAAAAGAAAAACCACATTTAAAAAATTCAGCTGTATATTCAAGAGAGTTTTATCCAGTACTAGATTTTCTCAGTAGATAAACGCTTACTTTTACAAGCATTTAAAAACATCTTTTGTAAAGTTTTTATAAAAGCAAATTGAGTAGTCTTTCAAATATTGAAATTGAGTTAAACATATGCAAATTTGACACTTAAAAAGTTAAAAAGAAAAAAAAAAATATCTCAAGCTACCAAACACTTCCATTGAGAAGTAACTGCTGTGGGTCCGCATTTTTTTTTTTTTTTCAAAGTTGTGAATGTTCTTGTTTTCTTGTTGGCTTATTTCATTGCCTTGAAGTTGCCTTTCACAGAGTATGAGATGAGGAATTTTCTGGTATCCAGGCCAAAAAATTCACACCATAGCTTTTAATAGGAGGTGGGGAATAGGGGAGAAGGAATATTTCATAAATTTGAAGTCCTTAAATGCCGGTCCAAGATGAAGAATTGAGAAGTGCACGTGTGGCATTATTTCATTGCATTTCATCTCAAGAACTTTAATTTGATGTCTGAAAGGAAATCAGTTTTAATAAATTGACACAAAAGGAAGAGATGTAGCATGGCAAATTAATTCGTATTTGATCTTCATAGTGAAGCATTTTCCAAGCGTAAGTGCATAGAATGAAACATGATTTTTTAATCTCAGGACCCACGTACCTTCTCAAAAAAGGCAGCAGTTAAAACACTTGCAAATGTATTGTTGCTTAAAGCTTTCTCAGGACCAATAAGCGGCAATAAATTATCTTCAGGAAGATCTGGATTTTTTTCTAAAATTGTAATAGTTTTATAGGAGCTTTTTGCTTGAAGTCTGTGTCCTCACTATATTGGGTTTTGGGGAAAGCGAGTCACCTTATGAGAAGGGTGTATTAAACAGTACCATTTCAAAGTGATGCAGGAGATTTGAAGCCGTTTTTACGTTGAAGGATTCTATGTGTTTGTAACCTAAGAATTAACTAGCTTGGCAGACTACCACCGCCCTTGTAAGGCTTGCTGAAATGCATTGAAACAAAGGTAACCTCAGGGAAGAAAATCTGGTAAGTGGTTTAATTTAGTAACCTAGAGAGTTTGTAAAGGGGGAGGGAGGGGAAGCATCTAAACCGTAGTGATGAGCACAGTATCGGTAGCACGGGAGGTAAACTGGACCACAGCTGAAGAACTACGTATTCCGTAATGTCTGAACGAACAAAGAGAAAACGCAACAAAAATTGGTCTGTGCCGGGGCCTGGCTGAGAAGGAAGGGGAACAAACAGGAGTAGGTGATCCGGGCTCCGGCAGGACTGGCCAGGGCGGCTGAGCACAGCCGGGCGCTTGGTCTTCGCTGCCTTGTTCCCCAGGGCAGAGCTTTCGTTGGATGTGATGCTTAACTGAATGTAACCGTGGGGTGAATTTATTTTTCTCTTTATGCTGAAGTTTAATACTCTTCTTAAAATGTGTGTTACTTGCCTAAACTCTTCTGGGCTGTATGTGACATTTACACGAGGGATTAGTTTAAAATCCATGTTAATGGCCTTTACTCCAAACTGTGATCACTTAAGTTCAACACGGTTGAAGTTCATATGCAGTTGACGCTGTTGTAATCCATTTTGATTTTTTTTATGTCATCTGTAAATCCCCCTGCACCCCATTTTTCCAGAAATACACATTTAGAGTTGCAAAGTAACTGCTTTTGGTAACTTAATATCTTTCCCATGAACAGATAAGTACTATGGCTACAAATAGTCCGCTTTGTAAAGGTGAAACTGTAAATTCCAGTATATTCCATTTTACAGATCATTTTCCATAGTATTACAGTCTTCCCTGTAAACTCTGTTTTGCCTGCTGTTGTGCACAGAGGACTGGGCTGAAACACCAACCTGGAAATGAGGAATTGATTAGCAAAGCTTTGTCGGGTCTTTATGCGTTTTGCTAGATTTGAGGCCTGAGGACCAAAGTCTGCAAACCTCGCTCGTGTAAGCAGCTCCATTGACTTCCATAGGACTATGTGCATGAGTCAGTTTTGCATAGATTGTATTTTCTGTAATCCATATTTAATGTTGAAGTTAAAAATACTGAATCCTTTATATATTAAGAGTTGTCTATGATAAAGATTTCTTTTAAAATACTATATAAAAGTCGATTTGGATTATAGTTTCTCCCTGTCTTGCTCTAATCATGTATCTTAGTTTTGTAAAACCAGCCCTCCTATATGAATACTCTTTAATTTTGATCACCCTGCTGCTTGAAAAAAAGTATTTTTATATTTACTTGCATCCCATGTATAGCAAAATGTTATGTGAAAAGCGGTATATATAAAATTGGATATTTTTAATCAGTATTTTTCCCAGCACTCAGTTTTCATGTTAGTCAGATTCAGAAGTAATGATTTTTTTAAAGCACAATCTAATCTTCAATATATATACTTTAAAAATGCTCTGTATTTTTAAACATGCACTGTAGTGAAAGCGCTTTTGGGACATGAATGTGGTATTGTATTTAATCTCTTTTGACTTTTGTAAATACCTTTTACAGATATTTTCCATACCAAGTCACCTAGTTTATCCATGGAGGTTTTTGCTCTGATTTTTAGAACTCGTTCCAGGGACGGTGGTTGCGCTGCTGTTGTATTGCCCGTGGCGGGAGCATCTCACACCAGTTCCCGGGGATGGGCAGGTATCGCCGTGTCACTCGTGGGGCAGCCGAGACGCAGAATTTGACAGACTTGCCCGAATCGTTGTCAGAAATGGGAATAAACCCCAGATCTGGCCTTTTGCTCTAAGCGCTCAGTCGAAGGCGGGCAGCAGCGTCTATGCACTCCTCCGGCAGCCGCTCCCTCGGCGTCGGGCCTGGCCCCCGCTCCGGTGGCACAGGGTTCTGGGGTGCAGCAGGGTGGGGGAGGCACTCCCCATCCTCCCCTCCTCCTCCTGCTCCTCCAGAACAGGAACAATTCCTCTGCCTTGACCTGCCCGTTTGCTGCCGCTACTTGAAAAAACATCACCCTGACGTAAGCGTTTAAGGTGGGCTCCAGACTGTCCAGCATCAGAAATTCTGGTGGGGTCTTAAGCATTTTAAACTTTGTACTTTAAGACCTAATATTTGAAACTACTGTAGTATTTTCGATACATTCACATTTTTGCAACGCTAACATCGGTAGCAGTTTCTTTGGGAGTACACACGCCTCGCCTATAGATAACTGATCTGTTGTATTCGGAATGTAACGCTTTATAAAGTGGTATTGGGTGTCAGAGTGCAGTGTATCCAATCTGGTGTAATTCAGTGCTGTACTTAATAGTGCGTCCTTCAAATTGTGATTTGCTTTTAAAGACTTGTTGCATCGTTCGTGTGGAAAATAGACCAGTATCAACCTTAGCTCTTCGATGGCGTAGAAGTTTTTTAAGTGTGATTTGCCTCATGTACTGATCTGTATTTTGGCAGCTAATGATGTAAATGACCATAAGTTCTCTTTGTCTGGGAAAAATAAAAGGTTTTATTCTATCCGCATGTATTTTAAACTTTTGGATAATTCCATCGAACTGTGATGACGGCACATTTAAAAGTTGACCTTTTCCTTTTGATCAGAAGTGGTATTTGCTATGGTAGCACTCGTTAGCGGCACTGATGTTGGTGATTTCACATCCTGTTTTGTACATCAGATTTCAAGATTATAGTGTTTAAGTTTGTACAATTGTGTTTATGTAAAAAAATTTGATCCGAAGAGATGATGTATGTATACTTTTGGCATATGATCTATAGGGAAATATTAGATTCCACTGATAATGTTGTTAAGTAGTTACAGATAGATCCGACTTATTTTTTACAGAGCTATACATGCCTTTATTTATTACTTATCTGACCACCAAATCAATGTACTATGTAGTTCAATATTTGTAGACCAATTTCACAAATCGACTATGGTATTGTGACAAAGCTTCAAATAAATGTTTACTGAACCTTTGCACTGAGACCTGAGTCGCGTCCGAGGCTCCCCTCAGCCGGGCTCTCCCGGGAGGGCGGGCTCGGAGCCGGGCCGGTTGCCCCCG